GATTTTCGTATCTTGATTAATTTTGGTAGAAAAAAAATAAAATCCACTTAATTGCATATGCCTGGACCACACAGGAAACATGGGGAAATGTTTCTTTTGGATATTATAATTTTTTTATAATATTTTATAACATGTAACATCTAAATAGCATACAGTACAAATGTATAAACGGCAAACCCAGTAATCTCACACACATGTGCGAGAGAGATAGAGCTAGTGCAGGCTTATGCTTCGTGCACAGAACAGTGTAGCGCGCTACTTCAACTTTAATTCAACCAATACTAGATTTCTTACCCCTTTTTTCTGTTGGGCCGTATTCCTGTTTGAAGTTAAAATGATTTTAACTACATTTGTGTGGTGGCTACACTGAAAGTATGGTTAAGTTAAAAATTTTAAAAAATTATTGATTAGGTTTTGAATTATATTTAGATGAATTGCAGAAGGGACAGCCGACGAATTTCTGATCTACAAAGACTTAAAACATTAAAAATGTGTAAATATATCAATTCTGAGTAAAACTACACTTATGATATTAAGAATTCTTTATCTTAACTCAAACTGAATTAAATTTAATTTCTCTTCTTTTAACAATACATATTTGTACCAGTAATTTTAATAATAATTATTAATGAATAAGAGCATAAGCACTATTTGTTTATATGGAATTTCTGTACAAATTGGAGGTATTAACGGGGGAATGTAATAATTAGAAATTTAAAGTTAAAGATATTTCATTATACATATTTAAAAAATACTCAGTTATAATTAATTTTCCAAATAGTTTTTATAATACAGTCTTTATGTATTTCTTCATTTATTTTCCTCATATCGTAAGATCGATCAGTTAAAATTGCTGCAAGCTCTTCTGAAGTAAATAGTTACTTTAAATAGTTCATAATATATCTTGCTTTGCAAACTATATCGATGATTTTTCAACATATTATTTAAAGAGAAGTTTTGCTGAAGCTTATTATAAGCACAATTCCGTTGAAACTGTTTATTTATATGTATTTGGTTGGATGATAAAAAGTATTTTGAAGAGTGACACATTTAAGGGGGCAAAATTTTGACATTGACATTGACCTAAAAATTCAAAATGATAATTAAGGTGATATCAATTCGTTTCTACCTGTTCTAAGTGATACAAAATATCGAAACTTAAAAAATTAGTCGTGTTCCACGAGCCTGTTAATTGGGAATTTCAAACAGTTTTAACACTTGGTGAAATCGTTTGCTTCAGTAGTATCGTCATTAATTTGTACTAATTACATCCCCTCGTTTTTCTCGAGGTGCTATAGATTACACGTTTAGGTCTGTCGCACACGAGAGAGTTTGACACGAGTCACCGCTCGTCTCGTGCCATCAAAGGTAATCTCGCAAATGCAGCTGGAACTGCGCTTCTTTCCGTGCATACTTCGGATATTTTGTTGTTCGCAAGCATGTTTCATTGCCAATGGTATATGGAATTAGTGAAATCAATTGTTTTCCGCCAATAAATATATTGTATTTCGTTTTCGTGCGTGGCACACCATAAAAAGATTTAATAAGTTCTCACTCAAATTCAAAACGATCAGTTCTTGATTATAAGTAAGTAAACGTGTTTTTTGTCTGACTGCGCGCCGGTATCTGTATGTACACAACTTTGTTTTCCCCCTGCGAAATATTAGCAAAGAATAGAGTGATTTTTACACAATATGTTCATATTCTGGCATATTTTAATTTATCTAATTGTTTTTATAACCTCGTTGCTTTGTTAAAATCTTAAATTCACTCAAAATTCAGTACCAAATTAATTTCACTAATTCACCTTTGAACGTACACTGTTAGTTTTTACTGTACACACATATTCATTAGAAGTCATTTCAATAAAGTTTGTACATCAAGAAACAAAAAAAGTTGAAGTTTGAGGGAAAGGAGATATGCGTTCTTTTTTCGAAATTTTCTCTTGTGATACGACAACCGCTTGTTCCAATGGTAGTCCGAGACCAAATCTAATAACTAGGATTTATTAAAACGCTGCCAGAGTGTAAATGTTCTACTTTTTTTCGATTAATTATGGAATTATTAAGGATAAAAACTGATCACCAGTATCACCACGATTTCAATGAATTGGAATACCTATACAGTTCGATGTTTTTATATCGATTGTGTAATATTTGGATCATTTTTCCTTGGGAATTTTAATAAAACAATGTTAAAACCTTGCATAGGGAGAGGGGGTAGATTTAGTATACAAGTGTGGACCATTTTGGTGATGCATGGTATTGGTATCTTGGAAACTATAAGATAGGAAAATGATTAGATTGGGAAAGTTCTGTTGCTAACTTAATGGCGCTTGCAGACCGGTCCCAGGTTTTTGAGTTATTTTGAAAAAAATATAGGAATTTTGGTGTTTTCGAAAATCGTCTGTAACTTTTTTACTGAGAGGAATTTTAAAATCTGAAAATTTTTTCACAGCAAGTTTTTTCGAAAAATTTCACTGTGTATTTAGATTTTGATTGCGACGTTTCGGGGGCGAGAAACCGTCATCAACTTACTTCTTTCTTATGGGCGCCATATTGAATCTTAAGCTGAGCAAACAGAGCATTCTTTTGGCTTTTGATTGATATAATAGAAATAAAAACAGCCTCAAAAATCAATATGTTGATATTTTTAATAAATCTGGCAACACTGCATAATTTTTCGGAACTATTATAGAATAGTTTCAATTTTTTTAAAAGCTTATCATTCGTCAAAAATATATCTTTGACAAAATTATCTTTATTCTTTACACATAATATTTCAATTTAATGATAGTTCTATAATTTTAAAAATAGATAATCTTACAATTAGATCAGATCCGGAAATAATACTAACACATCCATTTTCTGTTTGTATTTTTCCAATAAAGAATTCAACTATTCAATATTAAACATGTTTGCCTATAAGTAACGCGTAATCACTATTAAATTAAAAATTACGTCATTTTAAATTAAAATGCTCCCGCAGCAGATATGATTAATGTATTTTATAATTGAAGACACGCTATGATTACTTTTTGATTGGAATTTCTTAGGGTTTTGCTCATTTGAACTCTTGGTAATTTTTCACAAAGAAGTAAAAACCAAATCTTTAAGTTACGAAGTTGATCTACAGTGAATAACAATTATTCCTAAATGTAAATAATATACCAAATTATTGTTTGTTGAATCATAACTTGTGTTTTTATAGAACAAATTTATACGTACAGGGTGATTCACAAATAGTGACCAAAAATAAAACCTCACATTCTTTGGTGAATTTTAAGGGGTGTCTTTCCTATAAAGTTTTTATCTAGAACGCTTCCTTAGAAAGCCTTTTTTCGAATAATATAAGAGAGTAGTAATTTGTAGAAAATTGAAAGACGAATCCGAAAATATGGTTTTACCGTAAAGCAGTGGCGTACTATTTTATTTAGAAAAATATGTCACCGATGCCCCGTATATCCGCCACTGGAGCATGTAAATTTTAGGAAAAGCCCTCAGATTTTGGACAATGTTTACATAAATACATGTGCCAGATTCCAAATTATTTCAAATACTAGTTTTTATATTATTTGAAAAAATTTAATTAGGTATATTTTTGAAGTATCTTGGAAGCGTTCTAGATAATAACTTTATAGAAAAGACTCCCCTTAAAATTCACCAAAGAATGCGAGGTTTCACTTTTGGTCACCATTTGTGAATCACCCTGTATATAAGAAAAACTAATGTAGCTGTGATCAGATGGAAAATTACAATGAGAACAATAAGCTACCCAAAACGCACCTCAAAATCCATTCCTTATCTATATTATCAGAATTAATTTTATTCAGTGGACAATACAGATAATCCAAATAGAACCTGATAACCTCAATAATATTGTAAAGTCCTAAGTTAACCCTAGCGAATAAGCTCAAAATAATCCAAATGCTTTTGATTATTGCAAGTATATGATTCAGTAAACAATTATTTCGACTTCAATAGAAGTCATGTCAACGTGAGATCGTACCGTTTTGAAAAGGAAAGAAAAAGTGTTCTCACAGAAAAATAACAGAATTGTGAGAAAATGACCTTTCCTTTAATTTACGTTAATTAATAAACAAGAATAATAATTCAACCAAATCGCTATTGCAATGCCTGAGTATTCCTAAAAAGTGAGATGATACGTTTGTACCGCCACGTACCAGATTTTTATCTCTATTTAGCGCGTTCTTCATTTTTTACTGTTTTTGTGTTACTCAATATTTTTTTAAATAAAACACATGAATTTTTGGAAATTTGCCTTATTCTACTCTTTTGACTGCTTGAAAATAAAAATATAACAGAAAAATTTTGGTGCAATTATCAAACAACAGGTTTTTACTGTGTCTGAATCGGAATAGTAAAAATTTAATTATATTACGAATATAATGGTTAGCAGTGTAAGAGACGAAAAAGCAATGTTGCTTGCACCGGTTTATTAATTGCTGCATAGTTCAAACTGTTCACAGCAAGTATTTTTGCTTCATTTCTAGTTTCACTATCATAAAAAATCAGGGTAAAGTAATTTTATAAAATCTTAAGAGGTAGTAGTTATACACATCCTCAACAAAATCGGTTAAAATATCACCGAACAAGGTTATATCACTTGAAAGTCTTAAGGTGGGCCACATATTTTATAATGTCAATCAAAAAAACGGTGTCTTAGTCTGTAATAAATGTTACGTACTTCTTAGCTTGGATCCTTGTTACCGCTATTTCGACTGCAGACATTTCTAATGGTAAACAATTTAAGCCAGTTTCAAAATAATATCAATACAATTTGGGTTTCGATGACAAGTGCTGGTTAGACGAAATTTGGTTAACGATTTTATCAAAAACGCTGGAGAAAGCTACGACGTGACTTAATTTAGGAACCGGAATAAATTACGGAATTTCTTAAGTCAAAGTTACCTCAGAATTGATTGTATTAAATATCAAGGCGCAGAGAAATATAAAAAATATTGGTGTATTATTGCTTACCTTAAAATATGTATTATTCCAAAGTAATCATGTCCGCTAATGGTTGACATCAAGCGAGATAAAAAATTGAATTCATAACATCTGCCAAACGGCGCGTTCAACTACTTGTAGGGTTTAAATTTGCACAGTCTGTTTAGGATCAAGTCACTATTTCAGTCCACTAAGGTTAGAATAATACATTAATTACTAAACAGAAAAATTCTGGATTCCAGTTTTAACGGTGTATACAGCTAATGACTGAAAGAATTTAGTCAGGTAAACCGTTGATACCACAGCACACATAGAGGTTGGATTTAAAACTATCGGCACCAACGACGTGTTCCACTTGTAGCCTTTGTGAGCGTTGTAATCTCCAAGAGGTGGGTCTTCAGACTGTCTCTGGCTTTCTCAATGACATTGAAGTCTTACACTCTCTCTAATCGTAATAAGGTCTTTTCTATATTGACAAAGTCTAACCCAAATCGAAGTAAGTTATGTACGAGGACGAGAAATTGTTTACCCAGATTTTTTCCCAATAAAAAAGCAGGTGCGACATTTTTTTAATCAGTTTCATAACGTTAATTAAAATTGTTCCAAAATCCAACTGCCGGCTTTCTGTTCGAAACTGATATCTTATTCGTAACACATTGTCTCTAAATTCATTAATTCTGAAATTGCATTTCTATACAGGGTGGTCGCGACGTAATGGGCCAAAATTCATGGGTAGATTCCCCAAGTAAAAATATTGCGATTTAGCCGAACTTACCTTAGTCCAAAAGTTGATAGTTAAAGAGATACAGGGTGTTAAATGTAAAATATTATTTCAGTTTTTTTAATTTATTCCTTAACAAATGCAAATATCCTCACAAAATTTTGGGGATTGGAGTTCGTTGAGTAGAGGAATTGAAATCTGTTCACATTTTGGTTAAAGTTCATAGAGGGCGCTAGCTGCAGTAGATTGAATGTGTTAAAAACGACATAACTTTTTTGTGCTTTAAGGTATCTCATCTTTGGTTACAAATTCTTATTTTCCAACTTTTTTTACACAAAAAAGGTATACTTTATTAAAGTAGCTATCTCGCACCGTTTTCGAGATATTTGGCTTTGAAACTTCCAATGCTGTTGCATTAAATTACAATTAAGTACCTACAGGTATTATTAATTTAGCGGTAAAGTTTCTTAAGTAGGATTTGGACGCAAATCAAATAATTGACGTCTTCCACTTGTCTTATTACTGTCATTTGTATGCTAATTTCTATTAAGTATTATTCGTATCTAATTAAAATCACAGCTTACAAATTAAATTGTATACTCGTTCATAAATGTGAGATAGAATGCCGAGGTTTTCGTTTTTGGAGTTACATGAAATTAGTTGTTTATGGAGACACTATAAACACTTGAGAATAACTTTAGTAGCATGTTTTAAATGCTGCAAAGTCATTTCGCATTAAGGATTTATACTTTAAAATAAGACAATCTTTTAATAAACGTGTTGATAAATGTATTGAAGTTAGAGGTGGATATTTTAAGCAATTATTGTCAAAAAGGCATATTTTTTTACTAATGTTTACTATTTTACTGTTCATTACAATTTTTAATTCTAAATAAACCCTTGTTTTTGACATTTCTAAATTATTTTAATTATTTCAACTATTAGCATTGGAAGTTTCAAAGCCAAATATCTCGGAAACGGTGCGAGACAGCTACTTTCATAAAGTCTACCTTTTTTGTGTAAAAAAAGTTGGAAAATAAGAATTTGTAACCAAAGATGAGATACCTTAAAGCACAAAAAAGTTATGTCGTTTTTAACACATTCAATCTACTGCAGCTAGCGCCCTCTATGAACTTTAACCAAAATGTGAACAGATTTCAATTCCTCTACTCAACGAACTCCAATCCCCAAAATTTTGTGAGGATATTTGCATTTGTTAAGGAATAAATTAAAAAAAACTGAAATAATATTTTACATTTAACACCCTGTATCTCTTTAACTATCAACTTTTGGACTAAGGTAAGTTCGGCTAAATCGCAATATTTTTACTTGGGGAATCTACCCATGAATTTTGGCCCATTACGTCGCGACCACCCTGTATACACGAGTGTACACTCATAAAAGATTTATGTAAAATTACACACATTATAAACTACTTTTTGCCCGGACTTCACACAGAAAAATGCAGAATTCTAAACACCAATATCAATCAATTATAAATTACATAAACATTAAAATACATGCAAGCTGCGCATATACAGGGTATCCCACCAGGAATCGCCACTATCGATATCTGGGAAAGTACTGATGCGATAAATCTGAAAATTTGGCAACCCAGCAAAGGCAGCAGGGCCAACACAGCTAAAATATTTAGGAAATATACCGGAAGTCGACTTTCTTATATAAAATGAGACACCCTATATATTATTGCATTTTCGGATTCTAGAAAGTTAACGTCGATTTCCGGTAAGTACAACCGGACGTGTCATAAAGTTCTAAATATTTTAGCTATGTTGGCCCTACTGCCTTTGCTAGGTTACCAAATTTTCAAATTTATCGGATCAGTACCTTCCGAGATACCGATAGTGGTGATTCCTGGTGGCACGGATACAAGTGTAATTTTACAAAAAAACAGTAAAAGTACATATACAGGGTGATTCACAAACGGTGACCAAAAATCAAGCCTAGTATTCTTTGATGAATTTTAAGAGTTTTTCGTCACCTTAAAAAAATATTTTTAATTTTTTTAATACTTTAAAAACTAATAAGTGAAATAATTTGAAATTGGACACATGTATTTATGTAAACATTGTCCAAAATCTGAGGCATTTTTCTAAAATTTAGTTGCTCCAGGCAGAGAAAAAGGGTACCGGTGACACATTTTTCTGAATAAAATAGTACGCCATTGCTTTATGGTAACAATCATGATATTTTCGAAAACACTTTTACTTAAATGATATGACAAACACTAATCATTCGGTTATTTAATCGAATAAAGAAATGAATAACATTAGTCATCATTTTAATGATTTTATTTGAGTAAATGCTCAAAAATACCTCAATTTCCACAAACACAGGCACGACATCTTTTTAGTAACGAAAATGTAATTTGTTCGAAATTAATTGTTGATTGAATCTGATGAAAAGCATTATTTATTCTTTTTTCTGACTGCTCAGAATGTCAAAGTTGCTATTGCAGCCTACTATGTAATTTTAAACCGAATTTTATTCGAATATCGATGATGTTTTCAGTTCGTTTTATAAGTTTTACTCAAAAATCAGGAGTAGTAGTTTGTAGAAAATTGAAAGATGAATCCGAAAATATCATGATTGATGACCGTAAAACAATGGCGTCTATTTTATTTAGAAAAATATGCCACCGATACCCTGTATGTCCGCCACTGGAGCAACTAAATTTTAGAAAAAGGCCTCAGATTATGGACAATGTTCACATAAATACATGTGCCCAATTTCAAATTATTTCACTTACTTGTTATTAAATTATTTAAAAAAATAAAAAATATTTTTTTAAGTAATACCCTGTATCTTTCTAACGAAGCGTCCTAGATAAAAACTTTATACGTAAGACTACCATTAAAATTCACCAAAGAATACGAGGTTTCACTCTTGGTCACGTTTGAGAATCACCCTGTATAGTATTTAATTAAACAGCATTCGTAAAATAATAGTACAATGAAACAGTTTGTATAGAAGATTAAATTAACAGTCAGTAAAAATTACTGCTTATTTAAAGGACAAAGTATATATTTAATTTTACAAACCTTTTTTTAGTGACATTTTCAGTGTTTAAATTTTAAAATAAGCTACCAAATACGTTTTCATACTCTCGTAAACCATATAAACCTTACGTTAATCTAAGACTTCTTTAACTGTGAGGACTAATTACATAAACAATATATACACTTATCTAAGACAAATGATACATTTTCTTCCATAAAATTGACATCTAATTTAAAATAATTAAATATAAAGAAAAACATTTTCATGTATTTTCTGGGAAAAGTTTTACTATGGTTTTCATTTATAAAAAACCCTAGTTCTCGCACCCAGGTACATATTGAAGTGGAATCTTTGAAACATTTCGAGCAATGACTTCTACTTGAGAACATTATATTTGAGTGGTTAGATCACTATGTTATAATATTACTCCACAAACTAATGTAAACATGCCTAGTGAATAACTAGCACAATTCTAACACATGCGCGGTAACACCTCACAAGATGAGCACATGATTAATCTGATTGGTTGAGCCAAATCAGGTCTTGTAAATTCACACTTTTATTGGTATATTTATATCAGTTATAATTAAAACATATAAGATTAGGAATAATACATTTTAAAATGTAAAAAGTATAATATAAAACGTAAGAATACTTCGGAAAAAGAAAATATAAACTCATAACTTATAATTCTACACAATATATCAATGTATGTTCAGTTCATTTACATGTTTCGTTCATAAAAACCATTTCCGCAATTTTTATCAGTGTATTTAACCATCTTTAGACAAAATTAAAACATGTTTACCTACTTTAAAAAATTAATGAATTTAGTGTGGAGACAAAGAACTTTTTAACATTTAAAAATAACGGTAATCGAACTATATTACTTTATTAAGTTCAAGTTAAGAAATATTCGATATAATTAACAAGAACCAAAAACAAAGCAATTTTATAGATCGTCAGATCTAATTAAGGAAAAAACTTTCTGGAAATGTCTCAAGAACGGTAAATCTAATAGGAAGTATTACAAACATATGGCTGTTAAATTTTTAATGCATTCAGGTCAGTCCCATCTGAATAGATATTCATATTTGATCGAGAAGAAAGAAAAGAGACTTATCTCACGAAGTTATTTTATTCTGTTTGGCGCGATTGTTTTCTTTTTTTATTTATTAAATAACTCCATCACTTTTAAAGATATTTCAATGAAATTTGATTAGGTGATATGTGGGGTAGCCGAATATGAATATGAGACTACTTTCAATTTTTTACTACAATCATCGGTTACGGACAGCTGAATATTTGGGATTTTAGATTTTTTCCCAGTAAATAAGCAGGTAGTTCGACATTTTTTAGTCGGTTTCATAATGTTAATTAAAAATGCTCTAGAATATTAGTTAGCTTTCCGTTTGAAATTGGTACCTTATTTGTAACGCAGTATTTCAAAATTGGTTAATCCATTAAATCTATAACAATCATTAAAAAGATTAAAGCATATTTATTTAGAAAACTAATTGTACCTAATTTCAAGACTATGAATTTAATGGCATTGAAACAAAGGAATTTTTTAGTAATCAAACTACATTTCTCTGTATGCCTAACAATCGTTAAACAAAATTGAAACATAATTACCTA